TATGCCACTGTCTACCCCTTGAACCACCAATGAACACTGAGGTTGATAATGTACATTGGTTATCTGACAAATAGATGCAGTATTTTTCTTTCCTGGTCCTAGAGCTTGAACTCTGGGCCTGGGCCTTTTTCCTGAGCTCCTTTTGAACAAGGCTAGTGCTCTACTACTTGAGTCACATTGTCATTTCTGGCTTTTTCTCTGATTAATTGGAGATAAGACTCTTATGGACTTTGCTACTCAGATTGGCTTCGAACCATGATCCTCAGATCTCCTCCTCCATAGTAGCTAGGATTATTGGCATGAGCCATTGGTGCCTAGCTGAATTCTAAATGTAATATAAAAAAATGTTGGCCAAGGGATTAATAACCAATTCATTAGATAGATAGACAGACAGACAGATAGGTGTGTGTACATGTGTGTAAGTACATATACATATATGTATATAAGCATATAAGTATATATTATAATGAGAGTATGAAATAGTAAATATACAACATTTAGAATAATGCTTAGCCCATAGTGTGGATGCAGCAAATGTTAAAAATCAACAAATATTTAGTCTATGTAGTCTTCCAAGGCAGCTATAAAGCAATGAGGCATCTTGGGAACATCGATGATGAACGTGATTTGATTCTTCATGTTCTGTACAGGAACTGGGTTATATACCTGAATTCATATGCAGCTTATTCTATGTGCTACAGAAGGGCAGCATGAGCCAGGATGATGTCTCTGTTGCTAGAGAGGCCACAGCCCCTTGGATGGACACTGCAAAAGCTACCGCCTGACTTTAGGAGTCAATGTTCTCTGGCAGAGATGGACAGGAACAAGGTAGTCTCCGTGCTTCAGGTATAGAAGACATAACAATGATAAAGTCCCTAATGATAAATGAGAACCTAAGAATTAGAATACTGATGAACAGAACCAGGCACAAACTCGAGGTCCCTCAGTCAGAGGGTACTAGGCCAGGAAGTCCCAGCAAACATTAGGACATGTAAGGAGAAGGGATGCAATACCTCAGACCTCAGAAAGACCCATAGGTATCTTCCTCTGTGCAGAAACTACAGTTTTCTGAGACCAAGACCCTCTGGCTTAGCCTAATTAATCACTTAAATTGAGTTATCATCATGGGTAGCACAGAAAGCAGGAGACTGGCAGCAAAACCCAAGTAAACACTGGCATCAATGAGAAAAATCACTGGAAAGAATCTGGTTTCTTGCAAGTCCGAAGAATAATCAGATTCCCTTCTGGGCACTGCTTTAAAAAAAAAATCTGCTCCATCAACAGGTAACTTTACAAAGCAGGGCAATTAGAGAGCTGCTTAAAGGTGTCTCAGCTGTTTCCCACACCCAGAGAGACGAAGACCAGGAAGGAGACTGGGCTGTCCTCATTGGAAAGGCCACTGCACCTGCCCTTGCTGCTTGATAATGAACTTGTCTAGCCAATGAACCCAGGCAGGCCAGGACTGTTCAGGAATGCGTGCTTCACGGGAGCTGCAGAAAGTACTCCTAGCTGTATGTATGTACACACAGGGACAAGAGCAAGACCCTAAAGGACCATACAGACACAACCTTGGCCTACTGTAGCCATAGCTGCCAACCCTGCCCTCAGGAAGGTCATGCAGTTAAGGAACAGCTCTTCCAGGCTAGCACACTGGGGAGCGGTGTTGTTAACCAAGGGTAAGAGACCACTCCCAAGTAATGTCCTTGTGGGACCCAGAGTGTACAGGAAAAGAGCCTCCTAGCTCTTGGTTCTGCAAAAGCTTGGAAGCTTAAGAAACCACTGACCCTCCACTTTAAAATAATTATTAACTCTTTCGGGTCATAAAAATACCACTTTAAAAAGTAGGTGAGGCAGAAAATAGATCCTGGTTATTTGAACAGACTTACCCTCTGCCAAATACAAACTGATCAGGAACAGTCGGATTAGTTCCATGGGCCATTAATCCATGCATTTGCTCCCTGACCCAACTGGGTAGCACATAATCAACAACCCCATGTTACTTACAAGGAAATGAAGTCCAGAGAGATTAAGTGTCATGATAAAAATCACCCTAGGTCTGCAGAGTAGCTGGGAAAAGCTCTTGTGCTAGGAGCTCTCTCTTTAGACCTCAACAAACCCCTCTTGCATTCAGATTTCCATGCATCTGCACAATCCATCCTCTTCAGAATTCCAGGCTTCTGCACAGGCCATCTTCTTGACCCACAGTAGTGTCTTCTTTGGATCCCGGAGCCAATTGTTCATCTCCTTGCACACAATGTGGATCAGCCTTAGAAATGGGATGACTTGGAAATGATGGAATCATCTACTCTTCTCTCAACTCACCCCTCTTAGGGTAACAGATCCTTGTAATTAGGTGTGAAAACCAGAAGTTCTTACATCCAGGAAATTTATTTCCTTTCAAATTACTTTGTCTTATATGAAGAATAGTTATAACAAAGGTTGATGGAAATGGAACTAGCCAAGCTGTGAACTGTGAAAGAAAGAGGGACACGAGTCTCCCCAAAAGCAGTTATATAAGGCTATTGGTACATTCATGCTTCATGCCATGACCTTTTTTTTTTTTTGGTCAGTTGTGGGGCCTGAATTCTGGGCCTGGGCACTGTCTCTGAATTCTTCAGCTCAAGGCAGCACTCTACCACTTGACCCACATCACGACTTCCAGTTTTCTGGTGGCTAATTGTATATAAGAGCCTCACAGATGTTCCTGACCAGGCTGGCTTTGAACCGAGATCCTCAGATGTCAGCCTCCTGAATAGCTAGGATTACAGGCCTGAGCCACCAGTGCCTGGTGCCTTGAGACATTTTTATATTCAAAGGATTATATATGGGGGCATATTATGAAATGGTTTTGCATAGAAAGAAGTTGAGAGAGTAACTCAAGGCAAAAGTAATGATGGACTCCTGCCCATAATCCCATAATATTTGGGAGGAGATGATCAGGAGGCTTGTGATTTGAGACCAGTCCAGGAGGAAGACAGGAAGTTCCCATCTCAACTGGTGGCATGTGTTTCTTATCTCAACTACACAAGAGGAATAGGTAAGAAGATTGTGGTCCATGCAAAACCATGAGATCATGTCTTAAAAGTAACTAAGATTAAAAAAAAAAAAAAACTGCTGGGCTCAATTGATAAAACACCTGCCTAGCAAATACAAAGCCCTGAGTTCAAAACCCCAGGACCATAAAAAATATTATTATGGAAAAAGCTAGAAATCCTTGTATTTCTTCTCTATATTTCAATTTCTTCAATTCCTTCTTTCCTTCCTTCCTTTCTTCCTCCCTTCTACCTTCCTCTCTCCCTCCCTCTCTTCCTTCCTTCCTTCCATCCTTTCCTTCTTTCCTTCCTTCCTCTGACCTTCCTTCCTTCCTTCCTCTGACCTTCCTTCCTTCCTTCCTTCCTTCCTTTCCTTTCCTTTCTTCTGCCAGTCCTGGGGCTTAAACTCAGGACCTGGAGGCTAGCCCTGAGCTTTTTTGTTCAGGACTAACATCCTATCACTTAAGCCACAAGCCCACTTCCAGCCTTCCTTTTTATTTTTTTGGGGGGAGAGGGTGGTGATTAACTGGAGACCTCATGGACTTTCCTGCCTGAGCTGGCTTTGAACCACAATCCTCAGACCTCAGCCTCCTGAGTAGCTAGGATTACAGGTGTGAGCCACACTCATTTTCCATTCCTCTTTCTCCTACTGTATAATTGATGCTTTATTAATGTTATTATTTTCATTTTGCTTTTTCTATAAATTAATATATTTATAAATATTTTAGATACTTTTAGATACTTCAAGCTCATATAAAGTGGAGATCTTTTCCTGGTTTAACTTTCATGTGGCTTGCATACAACATATGTTTTATATAAAACTGAAAATCACATATTGTGATTTAAATACTTTACAATTTGAATGCTATAGGTTTTATATATTTCATGCTATAAGTTTTATATGTTTCATGTCATTTTAACTGTCAAATAGCATTCTAATTTTGAATGGTATCTACATTTTGTTAATCAGAATATTAAAGTTGTAGATCAAAAATTCTCTAGTTAAAACTTTAGAAAATTACTTGTTATAGTGTGTCAGATTTCACCAGTGATTTTATAGTTTTGTACTCTAACTCACTAAGTGTGAAAGTTTCACCTTTCTCTACTTTCTTGGAAACATTTTATAATAATGAAACCTAAATTTTGTCAAAATGCTTACCTCAAAAGAAACCCCATTTTATATATAATTTGCTCAATCCTGATTGTGGGCATTGCCACATATAATTTCTGTATTTATTAATTATTCAAATCCCCTGTGAGTCCTTTATCATTTGCTTGCGTCCTTTATCATTTTTTTCTAACTGGATTATTTTTCTGGCTTTTATTTATATGTTTTATTTATAGATTCAGGAATTAAATATGCCAATTACATTCATTACCCAAATATAGCCTATCTTTTCATAACTTATTGGTTCTCTAAAGCTTGCTTTGTACCTACATCTTAACAAGCAAGTTTACACTAAAATGTAGATAACAAAGTTGACATTTCTATGAGTTGTGGACGCAGAAAAACATTATAAACACCACTATTTCATTCCGTTGTTTTTATTCTTGAATGAATTTAAAAAGCTAAGAATTGGCCACCTAGATATATGTTGGCTACTCTGTGTGTTGATTGCAGAGTGAGTCGCTTAAAAATTATAGAAGTGAATAGAACCAACTTGGAGAGCGATTAGCCTCTGATCCTTTGGCCCAATGCATTGTGTGTCTTCCATGGCAATAGAAACTATTAGCACAAAATCACCTGTAGGCAGGAACAGGCAACAGGCAGCAATGGTCTATCCCAACTTACCTCCCAAATACTTTACTACTAGAGAAGTCTCTTCTTACGACAAAAGGTTCTAGCACCAGATGGCTGAACAAAACAAGAGTAGAGTGGACTATGGTCATCTATATTTACATGGACATATTTCCTTGGGAATCCCGACTCGAAATTTTAAAATAATTACATCTATTTTTCTATTTCAGAGGTGTGGCGAAATCTTGTTTGAGAGCCCTGACCAGAATGCCAAATGTGTTTGCATGCTAGGTAAGAAGGCTTCTCATTTTGCATTTATTAAGCATGTTGATGTCCTGTGGAGTCACTATTCTGTTGCCCTAATGTCTCTTGCTCTATTTTCAAGAGAATTGGAGGTTGTGTGGGTTTATACAGTGCTATAACACATTTGTGGAATGTTACATAACAACAACAATGAAAAAAATATTTTGGTCCACTAAGTGTGGACCCGCGCTTCAGAGTCATTCAAAATTTTTTTGGATCATCAATATAAACAGAGAGTTGAGTATTGTGGATTAAGAAGACTCTGGTCAAAAGGCAAGAAGAATCACATTGTTCCCAAGTCAGAAATGTTTAGATTGATCTTAAGCTATGAAGTATTTACAACACATAAAAGCTGTGGGAGAAATACACATTTGAACTAATCTGAAGCCAGCACAATTACCCACAATGCATTTGTAACAAATAGCAATGCTGTCGTAAATAATCATTTGCTCTTATGAGAGGGTACCTCATCATTGCCTTTTGAGACCTCTTCATTTTTTATTTTGCTAAGAAATAAAGGTGGTATTATTTTCCTCATTTTGTAGGTTAGAATAAGTAGATAATACTTCTCTACTAGCGTCAGTGTGAGGAATGGTCAAATTATGGTCAAAATGGTCAAGTCATGATAGGAAAGTTTCTAAAGTATAAAATTTTAGTTCTAACATTCAGAATTCAGATAAGGCACTGAAGTGTGTTGAATGAACTTGACATTGGCTATAGCAATAAAACAAATACTAGAGACAAGGAATGATCTCAGTTATTTATAATTCAAGATTTTCACACAAACAATCCAAGAATGCTCATTATTTAAAAGACAAAAGATAAATCCAGGTACAGTGGTTTACATCTAAAAAGCCCAGCTACTTGGGAGGCAGAGATCATGCACATCAAAGTTCAATGCCAAACCAGGAAAAAGTTAGCAATACTCCATCCCAATAAATAAGCTGATCCAATTAATAATTGCTTTTAATCCCGCCTATGTGGAAGGTATACATGGGAGGATTACAGCATCAAGCTATTCCTGGACCCACCCCCCCAATCCCCAAAAAAGACACTACCCGCAAAAGAACTAAAGAAAAAGGATAAGAGACGAAAACATGGCTAAAAACATGTGGTATCTTTATTTTCTTTTTGGTGGGAATGAGGTTTGAACTCAGAACCTTATGCTTAATCTGACTGATTGCACAAGATTTCAAAATAGGAAAGTGGCTATATAAATTATTTTTGTTTTACCACTACTGTCTATCAATTGCAATTGAGCACTCACCTGACAAGTAAAAATCCATCCTACGAGTCTTCTATAATTAGATCCCTTATTCTAAGCAAATTAAAAGATGTCTGCCTTTTCATTCTTGTTTGGCAAGAACTGTACATTGTCTAAGCAAACATTCATCATTACCCTTGTGGATTTCATTCATTTATCAGATTTTTGTTTCTTTATAATATAGAATTAAAGAATATAGATATATATATATATATATATACACATAGAAGCATGAGAATGGAAATTTTATTCATTTGAGGACATATAAGAAGAATACATGTTCATTTTTACTTTTAAATATTACCTGTTTACAATCTATAATGCTGGAAGCTAAAGCTATGCATAGTGAAAACTACCTGTGCCCTCAAGGAACTTACATCTAAGAAGGCTTAGACTGTTCCTACTTAATCGTTCTAAGAGGATTTCTGAGACCTTTTCAAGATTTATAAAGCCCTTTGAATTAGTAGATGAAATAATACCAAAATAAAATTATTTGCGGCATCAATAGATGTGGATCATCCCACGATTAGCAAGTATGCTCCTGAGGGCGGGTGTTTAACATCAATGTGGTACATAGTGATAAGAAGAGACGCTGAGTGGCTCAGTCACTTGAAATCCACAGGAACAGTTCACATGATAAATAACTGCAGCACTAAAACTGAGACATCTTCTATTTTCTTCAAGAAAGAATATCTGTATCAACACCCTCCACATACACACACACACAGACACAGACACACACACACACACACACACACACACAGACACACACACACAAATCTCTTCTACATTTTCTGTCTTAGTAGTTCATGGCTTCCTTTAAGACAGACCTGACATGGTATTCTTAGGACTTCTTAGAGCGTTTCTTCAGAAAACTTTCTATCTCCAATGGCAGAGGATTCGAGGTCTGATAGTTAAAAGGAGAATTATGTTTTTCAAGTGTTGACAGGTATAAGTGTATTTTGTATTTTTACACATAATTTTCTGACACTTTTATGAGTTAAAGTTTCCAAGCAATAACACCAAATATATGCAACCTGCATGTCTACAAATACTTTTTGGTATTTAGTCTGCTCCAATATCGAGATCCCTGTTAGAATCTACCCGAGCCATCCTTGTCATTAAATTGTCAAAGTCTTGGCTCTCTCCCTCCAGCCAATTCATCTCTGCCCATCCATACTTCAGGTTTGAGAGACTGCCAGGATCCCAACTGTGCCCTGGTTCCAGAACAGTTGGAGATGGAATACACTAGTCTAGCTGGGGTCATATTTGCAGGTCTTTTCTCTCAGTCTTCAATCCTCAGATCATTCTGAAAAATGCAGTTTATGCTTTGAATTGTCTACCTCATGACTTCCATGCATCCTCACTGAAAATTATGTGTCTGGCTTATTACATTCAATGACAAGTAAGTGTAAAATTCACCTTGAAGTTGCTCCAAAACACTGCATTCAGTGCAATATTAAGTGAGAACAAATAACTGTTACATATGTTCCTTACAGAGACTTATTTCTGGTTCCAGGAGAATAATTTGTGTTACATATGAATGTAATGGGTTGTATGTGGAGCTGGCTGCACTAATCATTAGTGTTTTCTATTCCTTAATATTGTCCTGAGAAGGATAATAACCAAATTCAGCACCAAAGTGTAATAAATCATTGTTTTTCTTCTTTTCTTCAGGATTACGTTAGTGGGTTTCAAGTTCACATTTCCTCAAACCAGTCCCCTCTTTTTTTAAAATTTAGCTAAATGAATACTCTTAAATTCAAAGTGGCCTCCAAAATCTGTACAAGTATAACCACGTATATACAAGACATATACCTTAATTAAGTGTAGTGAGCTGAAACTAAAAGAAAAAGAAAGTGGACAAGCAATTCTCTCTCGTCATATAATCAATGTATACTGTATAGTAAATTATAAAATAATGTTTTCAAAAGTATAAGAAAAATATTGGTTAAAAGAGTCAGGTATATTTACGGAAACTATGAACAATGAATAATGTCAACTCAATTCTTACTTAATTTGTTAACCTGTTCTGGGAAATGACCCATCTTGGGAAAAGAAATCTCACAAAAGAGAATTTTGGGTCAAACTTGGTGCGTCTTTCTGCTTCTTTGTGTCCCTCATTCTCAGAGAGAGATTCTCTAAAACAGAAACTCTTAATTTATAACTTATGATGCTTTTGGCTCAGTTTCTCTATCCTCTTTATCAAGGTTACTTTTTTTTTGGGGGGGGGGTCCGGTCATGGGGCTTGAACTCTGGGCCTGGGTGCTGTCCCTCAGATCTTCAGCTCAAGGCTAGCGCTCTACCAGTTAAGCCACAGTGCCACTTCCAGCTTTTTTGTTCTTTTTGCTTATGTGGTGCTGAGGAATCGAACCCAGGGCCTCAGGCATGCAAGGCAAGCGCTCTACCACTGAGCTACCTTCCCAGCCCCTCAAGGTTACTTTTGTTTTCTAATTGGGAATATTCTGGAGCTCTGCCTCTGTTTCACACCTGACCCCAATCCTGCTGAGTGGTGTGGCCACTTGAAGGTACTCAAAGAACCCGTTTTCCTTCCTGGCTCAGGTGGCGATATTCATACTACTCAGATTTGGGTTGAGATTTATTATAAATTATTAAACTAGATTTATAATTTTCAGAGTAATGGAATGGTAAATTAATCCTTTGAAATCACTTTACAAGAGCATAGGCATCTTTCTAGCCCTGGATCTGGAAGGAAAAGAAGCTGTGCATTTGAAAAATCTGCTTCTTTGTTTTAAGCTCCCACTGATAGTTTTCCTACAACATGGAAATAATAACATCAGTCCCTCATAGCCTCAGGGTTTTTCCAGTGATAGAAGGAAATGTTCTGTGAGGAGATACCTGTTAGGAAGCCACCCCTGAATATCATTACCCCATCAATACGTTGATGGATACATAATAAATCATGGAACATTTTACATTCAGAAACAGATTAATTATTGATTATGACATTGGTAGTTTTTAGAAAGGCAACTGAAAAGCAGTATTATTTATATCATTATAAATACAATATGAAAGCAATTTTAAAAAATAAGAAACCTATTCTTCAAAGTTACGTGATATGTTGACAGCAAAACCCAACATTCAGTTAAACTTTGTTAATCAAATTATATCAAGTTCCATCCATCTTCAAGGTAGTGAGCTAAACACTAGGAATCCAAAGACCAATGGGGCACAGATTATATGCCAAAGGTTTCCAAACCGTCAAAAGATTCAAATCTTACTTTGAGGCATGGAGTAGTAGCTCATGAGTGAAAGGCTGAAGGAAGTGCACATATCTGGGATATAAAGACACATGGATTCAGATACAAAAGTGAAGCAAGTAGCAGTATTTTCAGGGATCCAAGACCAAATATCAGGAATCTGGGAACTATAAAAACAATAGTAAGTGATTCTGTTCATAAAGAAGAAAAAAGAACATACTGGAAAGAAATTTGAGAACTGAGTGTAGAGTACTTGACTATTATCATAAGCTCCAAAAAGAACAGAAGTTTTTTGTTGTTGTTGTTGTTTTATTTTTTAAAAAAAGCTCTGGCTTCATTCATTTAGTAAGATAGCATTTTTTAAATTTTAGTTATAAGTATTATAGAATATGCTATTAATTCATTTTGGATAGGTACTAATAAGTACAGACATTAACTACGTACTTGAGAATTCAAATAATTTTAATCAAATGTGTTCTTGCCTCTGATTACCTGAACTCTAG